CATGTTTGGTGTGACAGAGATTCGAACTCGCGACCCGCAGCTTGCGAGTCGAGCGCCTTAACCACCTGGCCATGCCGGGCCATAGTTGGATGCTCAAACGGAGAAAAGTTTCAAATACGTAAAGGTGCATTCCACTGCCATTGAGTGCTTTTAACATCTCCTTTTCGAAACATGGAGGATTTGTATTAATTTTTTTCTTTGCGAATTATCATGTTTTGACAGAAATATTGTTTGTTTTAACAATTTAAAATTGAGGTTTTGTGCATGAAAGATCACAGCTGCAATTAGTGCTGAAAACAAATAACTGAGCTCTTTGTTTATGCTACATTGTAATTTCTGATCAGTTTTTTTAATTCATCTTTTTCATATCTAATATCAAAAGATTAACCGAACAGAATATATTTGTAGTAAAACAAAAAATGCTGAAATTTTATACTAAATTGTTTTGAATAAACTATGGTGGTTTCAAGTTTTATTACAAGATTATTAGTTTATTTTGTATAATTTTTATGCACAGCGCTAGGATTTGAAAATAATTTGTGTACAAAAGTTTGGCCTGGTATACCCAAGGTTAAGTTTTAGCTGCTGGAGTTACTTGTAATGGCTGCTATAGCGGATAGAATGAGCAATGTTATCTTACAAATATTTCAGGAACTTAATTATGCACAAGTTACAGACTCTGATGACATTGTTAAGGTTAATATGTATTTCTTTTGATAAAAAGTTATGGATAATAAACTGGTGATATTATAATTTAATTATATATTTATTTATAATAAGTTAAGTCTTAAAACTTACAGACTATTAAGTAGTACTACATTGATTTTGAAATACTTGTACTATATATATACTATTAGTATAGTACTACTACTAGTAGTAGAATTAGTGGTACTCTAGTCCTATTCCTAGAATTCGACGTCTAATACTTGTAAGTACTAAAAAGTACTAGTGACATTACTTTACAAATTAACTTGCACAGTTACAACTTGCAGTATAACTATAACTAAAAAGTAGCAACTTAGAAATGATAAGACTAGTAGTAGTAGTAGTAGTAGTTATATTAATAGTTACTAAATAAGTATGCTGTTACTCAGTATTAGTAGAAGTTTGGAACCATAACCTTGAACTTCAACAACCTTAGTAATAATGTTAGTATTATTGCTGTTGTAACGAAAATTGACTGTATACATATTGGTAATACCAATAACAGTATTACATAACTTCATACAAGTTATTGCTATTAATATTAATATTTTACAGGGTGGGCAAAAAGTTTGGGCACCCCTACCTCATCAAATAAAAATAGGGTACATGAAACTGAAAGAAAGAATTTGACACATTTACATATCTCATATGTTCTTTTATAAGGTGTTTCTTTTCCAAATTTTGCACATAAGTCAGATCTTATTTTTTCTAATGTTCAACCTCTGTATATACACTTATGTAACCATACATTTGCAACAAAGCTTCCTTCTAAGTTCAATTGAATAGATACTTGAATCTACCATTTTCACCCTCAATAAACCTGAAAAAGAAAAAAACATCGTTATTAAAATGTGAAAAACTAAAATTGTTAACACAGGAACTTTAAATGAGAGAGGTGCTCAGACTTTTTCCACCCTGTAGTACATTTAGCAGTATTACTACAGTATGTTACTATATATCATGTGATAGTTTAAATTGATTGTACATAAATTTAGTTAAATTGCCTTTTTTCATAGTAACCTGATACAAATGAAAATTAATTAGTAGATAAATAGTGTGGTTTGTGATTTAGTAATTTGTACTCCTAACATGAATTGAGGCAGGGTATTAGTATTACTGGGCATAAGATTTATTACTAGTAACACCATAAAGTTTAACATCCAAAAATGAATTTTATTACATAGGGAAACTAATATTTATATGAATTCTTACAATTTATGAAAAAAAATTACATATTCCAGTTCAGTTTCCAATATTGTAGATTACTTTTGCACATGTAAAACAAAGTTCAGTCTTTTTTTTTAATGATCATTTCAAACTTGGCATAAATTTTTTATATTTGAATTTTATGTATATTGCAATCTGTTGTAAATGTTGTGGTACCATAACCAGTAATAGGCTTACCATAAAGGATACTGTAACAATCTATACTGATATTTGAAGTTGTTTTTCATACCATAAACAATTAAAATTATTTGCTATATACCTTATATGTTTCTGAAAAATGAAGGGTAAGAAGAAATCTTATTTAAGTTTGCAAAATTATTTGGGTATCAATACGATAATGGACTCTGATTTCTTTATATAATTGTATACTACAAGTTAAGCTCTTGAAATATCTTAAATGTTCTTCAGAAAAAACTTAAAAGTTTAAAGAATGGTAAGGCTCCTGGGCCAAATAATATTCCCAGGTGGTTTTTAAGAAAGTTAAGGATTGGATGTGTGAGCCACTTGTTACTTTTTTTTTTACTTAGTCCTTGAATAGTGGGCAGGTACCAGAGAAATGAAAGTTGGCTTATGCTAATCTTTTCATGGGAGGTGATAAATATTATCCTTGTAATTATAGGCCTATTAGTCTTAAATCAGTAGTAGGAAATGAAAGTGTAATAAACAATTGTCAGTGTCATTCTTTTGTATATGTGGGAGATATGTTGGCTTATTAGATAGACAAGTGGCTAGATGGAAGAAAGCAGAGGGTCGTTATAAATGGAGTTCAGTCAAACTGGATTAATGTCCCAAGTGGGGTAACTCGGGGACATTTTCTCTTTTTAATTTATATTAATGACATAGATGAAAGAATGGTCAAAAATTTGCTGATGGTATTGAGATCTTGGGTGTTGCTTGCTATGAGGATGATGTTGCTTTACTAAAGAATTTAGATCATTTGATTAGTTGGGTAAACAAATAGCAGATAGTTTTTGATTATAATAAATACAAGTTAATGCATATGGGTTATCTTTTTTGAGTTAAAGTATAATTATGATGGGAATAACCTTCATAGTGCTATTAAACAAAAGTATCTTGCCATTTTCGTTGATCTGTTGCCAATGGTAGGGTATACAGGATTTTTTGGTTGTGTCTGAAGTACTATTGAGTAAGTCTAAAGAGGCTATAATTTCATTGCATAGGTCACAGGTTAGGCCACACTTGGAGTATTTTGTTCAATCTTTGGCCTTTAACCTTAGAAAGGACATCAAATTGATTGAAAGGGTTCAAAGAAGGGCTAATAGGATGATACATGGAATGAAAAGGTTGTTATATGATGACAGGTTAAGATCTTTGAAATTGTTTTCTCTTGAAAGAAGAAGAGCTAGAAAGGACCTGTTTGAAGTATTTAAGGTTAAGGGAATTGATAGTGTCAATGTATTACCTTTTTCATACTGAATAGTGAAAATGGGGTAAGACTAGGAGAGACATAAATTTTAGTAGGGTAGTAGTCAGAATTATTTTTCTAACAGAGTAGTTCGATTTTAGAATAGGTTGCCTTCAGATGTGGTGGAAGCAGTTTAGGTAAGGAAGTTTAAGTGAAGGTGTGTTAAATATTTGAATAATATGGGCTGAATATGAGTTTTATTTATATATTTATATATATATAAAGTGAGAGTGAGAGAGTTTAGTTCATTGGATGGGACAGCTTAGATGGGCCAATAGGTCCTTTGTTGTCTGTAAATGTTATGTTAACTAAAAGGTTACTGGGTATATGCTGGTATGAAGACAATGAGATAGCTGAGTTTTTAGATGTTTTCTTCTGATTTTCCAAGAAGGATGTTAAAAATATTCCTGACTCTGAGAATTCTATTGGAAATATTGTGATTGTCCTGAATTGTGTAGGTATTAATTTTTTGGTGGTAAAAAGAAAGTTTGAGAGATTAAGACTACATAAAGCATCAGAACCTGTCGACTGTTTTTCCATGTTTTAAAAGAGAGTAAAGATCATATATGTGAGCCTCTCATTTTTGTAGATCAATACACAGTTGGTGTATACTTACGAATTGGAGAATTGCTTATGTTGCTCCTATTCCTAAAGGGAGACAAGTGTTGCCCTGGAAATTATTGAACCATTAATGTTACTTTTGTAGTGGAGGGGGATTCTAGAAGGTCTGATAAAAGAAGCATTGTGAAATTATCCAGGGATATATGATATCATAAAATTAACATGGTTTCACTAAAGGTCTTTCCTTACTAATCAGTTAACGTTTCTGAGAATGCTACATGTTATCTAGATGATGAAAAGGGTGTGGGACTAGGTGTACTTAAATTTTCAAAAGATTTCAATAAGGTGTTATTTTCAATTAATTCAAGGTTGCTCAGCTTTGTTGATTAGTACCACAACCCACAAATATATCAAGTAAACAAAATTAGCATTTCCAATTATTACTTTCTTAGATTATTCAAACTATTCAAGTCTCATATGAGAATAATCAGTTAGTTGAATGTAATTGATTAATGACCCTGATGACCAGCTGTTTCTGTGTATATGAAACTTAAATCTGTTTTTGTATTGAAATATGAATACTACCACATATTTTCCAGTGTGTCTTTTTTTGTGATATAATAAAGCCACTATTTATTTTGTAATATACACACATGTATGGTTGATTAAATATTTGTAATCATTAGGTAAGTGTTTTTGTGGATTTTGGTATTGCTTTGAAATGTGACAAATATTCTTACTGGTGTTTTCATATTGAGTATAAAACTAATTCAAAACTTTTAGCTTCTACAAACAATTTTCAGTAATTTCTATAAAGATCATTTTGTTTTAGATAGCTAATCACCGAGTTCTGTAAAGTTTTGTGGAATAGACTTAGCTGTATATAAGTATTTCCCTGCTTTTCAAGGGATTCTTTTCGTAATGCAAGTAAGGAAGTTGAATATCAATCCATAAATTAATTGTGATGTATTTTAAAAATTGTAATTGTTTGGATTGTTGTTGTTTTGCCATAAGTCAAAGCTTTATCTGTTAGGAGTCTCTGAGGCATATTTGTATCTTAAAGAAAAAAAGGTTTATTGAAAATTTGCTTTGTAATAGTATTTTCATAGCGAGGAAAGGAAAGTTTTAATTTTCCTTATTTTTTGTTTTTATATTAGGTATGGCTTTCACAACATAACAGCCCTGTGGGATTTTTGATGGATGGTTGTCTGGAACAACCCAATGAAAGGGAATTGAAAGGTATTATAAATCCTTGTACAAAAATAGAGCTAGCTAAAGTTTTTTTGGGTAAAGAAGAAGATATTGAAACAGCCATCTCTATTGCAAGAAGGGCTCAGGAAGAATGGTGTTCACAGCCCAAAAAACGATCGAGAATTTTGTACAGGTATTTTTAAACATTTCATTACTAACTTGAGTATACATTATGTACCTATAGTACAAACATGTATGACTAGGCTGTTGACAGTAACCTCAACTAGCTCAGTAATGACACATCAAGTAATCCTGGTAACTGTTTATTACCACATAAAAATGACTGACATTCTCATGCTGAGCAGTGAATTTAATCAGGCATTGGTAAATTAAAACCTAAATGGTATTACCATGAACAGATGTTTATAACAAAAAATCTTCTCTCTTTCTTAACCCTTTCGAGACTGGTCATGGGTGAAAGGTCATGTCATCTCGTTTGTTGACTCGCATTCAAAATTTTATTGAACTACTATTTCATGAATTTATGTCAATAAGTTTGGTATCAAACTGTACATTATAATTCAAATTTTAGTATTATACATTACTCTATTTCTTAATTTAAAAGTAAATATTAGAAAAACACAATTAAACATTGATTTTTGTGTGTCATGTGGTATGTTGAATGCAACAACTGTTCAGATTAGATGTTTGTGATGTCAAAATACTAAATCTATAGTTTCGTACAAATTAGGAACTCAAATTACCGGTATTGACAAGCTAGAATATAAAATAAGAACCTCTTATCTGTTTTATTTGCTAAGATATTGCTCAAGTAATAAACTAAATA